AAATATTTTCGTTGTTGTTTATAAGTCTAGATAATACATCAGCGTATCCGAAACTGTTTGTTGAAATGAATCTTATTTCAAAATCGTATGCTAAAAGCTGAATTGCCCATCTTTGAAGACGATTAGCTTGATGTATAGCAATGCCTGTTTTTCTACCGAAAATAGTCAGTAAAGGCTTATGGTCGGTATGCAATATAAATCTTCTTCCATACAACATTTTATGAAATTTGGTAACTGCAAATATGAGTGCAAGTCCTTCTTTTTCTATCTGGCTATATTTTTGTTCTGCCGGAGTGAGAGAACGTGAAGCATGGGAAATATGTTTAATGGATCCATCTGAATATTCATGCATGATGCATGCGCCTAACCCATAGTTTGATGCGTCAGCAGCTACAATTAGCTTCTGATTTGGATCATAATGGCATAATAATAAATTTGATGACATTATAGCTTTAAGATGATGGAAAAACTTCTGATGTATCGCGTCCCATTTCCATTTTACATTTAAGTAAAAGTAAATTATCAAGTGGTCCTCTTAAGTCACGCATCTTCGGAACAAATTTCCCGTAAAAATTTATTGCGCCAAGAAAAGAACGTAATTCTGTAATATTTGATGGTTCTGGCATTTGCTTGATAGCGGCAATACGTTCTGGATCAGGTTTTAACCCTTCTTGATTAATGATGTACCCTAAATACTTAATTTCAGTTTTAAAGAAATTACATTTTTCGTATTTTAATTTAAACCCATAATCACGTAGCCTTGTAAGAACTGCATATAAATTGTCTGTATGTTCAGATGCTGTTTTACCGGAAACAAATATGTCATCAATATATGATGCAGTGCAATTTAGTCCTGCTAACATTTGGTCCATAATTTGTTGAAAAATTGCTGGAAATGTTTTTATTCCAAAAACCATTCTGTTGTACTGGAATAGCCCGATGTGTGTATTTATTGTTAGTAGATGTTTCGATGCTTCATCAACCTCGATTTGTAAGAATGCATCCGATAAATCTATATGGCTAAATATTTTTGAATTTGCCAATTTTGAGAATATATCTTCTGGTAATGGTAATGGGTATTGATGTGATTCGAGGCAGTTGTTTAGACCAGTTGAGAAATCAGCACATATGCGTACGTTTCCGTTTGTTTTTTTCACAACAACTATAGGTGCTGCCCATGCGGAGAAGTTTACTGGTGAAATAACCTTTAATTCTTGGAGTCTTTTGAGTTCATCTTCAACTAGTTGTTGTACCGCATATGCAACTGGACGCTTTGGCCTAAATACTGGCTGAACGTTTGGTTTCGTTGTGATTACTGCGTGCTGTATGTTCTGATTCGCTAACATTATCGGCTTTGATTTTTTTGAAATTGTCTTCAGAAATTATTGTTATATCTGATGCTGTGTCAAGTTGCAAATTTAATGGTGTGCCATTAATTTTGACTAATATGTATTTGCGATTAATCATATTGACTTTGTTTGTAGTAAAGATGCTTTTGGAATTGAATTGACGGCCCTTATCAATTTTATGGTATTTTTGATTTTCATTTTGAGTTTTTCGGTATTTGCAATATCCTTCTTTATGCCCGACAAGTTTGCATCTGTCGCATTTGTGATTTTTGAATGGACAGTGCCGCGAGTAATGAAATTCACCACAAAACCAACAAGGTGTTTTCGGTAAACTTGAAGATTCTTTTGACCTGCCATTATTTTTGATTTGTTTTTCAGTTTTATGGTTATTGACACGTAAACGATTTACCTGTGCATTGCTTTCTATGAGCATTGTATCGACTTTTAAATTTAGTATCTTTTGGCATTCTGTTGATAAGGTCTCCAACGTGACTTTCGTGCTTTCATTTTCCAATTTATTTAACATTTTTGTGCGTAATTCAAATTCTGATGGTGACTTTAACCCCATAATGAATATTAGACACTTAAATTGATCTGTAGTTAAATCATTCAGTTTGAATAATTCACATTGCTTATTAACCATGCTCGCATATGTAACGAAATCTTGTGTGGGCTGCTTTGTTATCTGTAAGCAATTGAATCTAGTATTAAATAATGAAATCTGATTTCCAAAAAGTTTCTTAAGTTTTTCTACTGTGTCTTTAAAAGTAAAATCACGACTATGATTTGGTAGAATATAATTGGTGTACTTATTATGAACAATGGTGTTCAATTTACGTAAAAGCAATCGTGTTTTTGCGGCATCATCCAATTTTGCAGCATCGATTAGAAACAGATCTTCGTACCGCATGTACCAAGTGTCAAATGTAATGTTATTTTCTGGATCGTGACAAAATTCTGTGATGTTTGATGCAAGTGCTTCAATTATGAATTCTGGTTCTGTTGGCTTGGATGTTGACGATGAATGCTCCGCTACTTCTGATTTTCCTTCTTTAAACAATTTTGCGATAAGATTCTGCATTGCAAGATTGTCTTGATGATTTTGATTCTGAATTTGTTTCAGAATATCAGCAAGTTGCTCTGCCATCTTGCTATATTTTTACACTTTAAAAGTTTTCCTCGTCGCCACTGTTATATTTCTGTGTTTATATAATTCTATTTTATTTATTCACAAAATCATTTATACAATTATCAATTAATTATTACATGTGCACGCGCTTTTTCTATCTCTCCTTTTCTTCTCATGCTCCAAAACAGCTGATCACCTTAGTGATGCCATCTCGTTACGATAATTGATTTTATATCGTAACAGTTAACAACATCCACTGTTCAAAGCAGCGACGGATTTTTTCGCAAAATCAGCTCCAAAATTTGAAGGTCCTTATCAAGTGCAAACATTCATTTCACCAGTAATAATTAGCCTGAAGGCCATCGGGACAATAAAATAATAAAGGCTCACATTGTTGACTTGAAAATTAACTATGGAGACCGGAAAATTATAACATCAAGAGCATATTAACATCTGTAAACATGTTTAATAAATGTTTTGTTATGTAGGCCTGTGTAGAAGTAAAATGTTAATACACTAAAAAACAACATGTATATTTTTTTTTTTTCAAAAGAAGGGTTGGGAAGTAATTACCGCATCACTGCATCCTCGAGGATTATTGTGACATACCCACTTCAGTTCCATAGACGAGTAGCAGTTAAGAATGCTAGTATGTCCTTTGGAGAGATGTTGCCTAATTCCGTTATAAGCGGATAGGTAATGGATAAGTAGCGAAGTCTGAGTCTTGCGAGACTATCAGAGTGACACAATATGTGTTCTGCTGTTTCCTCTTCTTCGTAACAAAGTCTACAGCTATCGTCTCCAGTAATACCTAGATTCAATAAATGTTTTTTAACTCCGCAGTGTCCAGTTAGAAAACCTGTGACAAGTCGGATGCTACTTCTGTTCAGCATAAGTAGCTCCCTAGTTCTGGCTTTTGATCAAAACGGCATGGATTCTTTTGCTTGATTGCAGGTAATTGTATTATCCCAATCTTTCTGAGCTGCTCTTTCCAGCCATTCATTAGTTTTAAGTTTGAAAAAGCTCCACGAAGGACCGCAGAATGGTTGTGGCCCAATATAGTATGAGGCCGCCCCTTTTCTCGCTAGTTCATCTGCTTTTTCGTTTCCCTCAAAACCGCTGTGCCCTGGAATCCATATTAAGTGGACTCTGTTCCTTTCAGCAAGGTCTTTGAGAAGTAGAAGGCATTCCCAGACTATTTTTGAGGTTACTCGAGGTGAGCGTAGTGCCAGGAGTGTCGATTTACTGTCAGAAAAGATATATATGTTTTTTCCTGTGACGGGTTTACCTTTATATACCCTGAGACATAATTGAATTGCGTGTACTTCAGCCTGAAAAACTGAGTTTTCTTTACTCATACTCGCAAATATTTCCTCTTTAGGTCTTACTTCATATACTCCCGCCCCCACTCCTTCCATCGTTTTGGAGCCATTCGTGTACCACAGATGGTAGTCTCCAGCGAATGGAGGTATGTTCCGTTCCCATTCATTTCTGTCTGGTATTAGTATTAGAAACTTTTGGTGAAAGTTGAATTTAGGTAAGCAAATGTCAGATATGGTGATATTTAGTCCTTCCTCTCTTTGCATTTCCCTACCTAACAGGGAGTTATCGAGTAGTCTTGTTGATTGATTGTTAGTCAACTGTAGCTTGGCCATAAAAATCATTGCTTCCTTTTTGACTAGTAGGTGAAGTGGGGGGAGCTCCAATGCAAACTCTAGGGCTGCTGTCGGGGTAGTTCTCATCGCTCCACTTGTCATTATGCAGGCTAATATCTGCAGCTTACGAAGTTTATCTATAACAGTCTTCTGTTGTGCTTTTTTGTACCAGATAGCTGATCCATAAGTTACAATTGGTCTGGCAATAGATGTGTACATCCAAAGGCTGAGTTTTGGATTAAAGCCCCAGTGCTTACCAATGAGGTTTCTGCTGGTCCATAATGCCTCTCTGGCTCTTCGTATAACATTGTCTACATGAGCATTGCACGTCAACTTCTCATCCAGAATCATTCCCAGGTATTTTACTTGGGTAACGGCTGATAGCTTTTCTCCATTCAGGAATGGGTAATTGGAAAGTACTCTTTTCCTTTTCCTTGTGAAGACTACCAGACTTGTTTTCTTAGGATTTACATTTAATCCTACTTCATTGCACCATCTACTTACGATGTTCAGGGCTTGCTGAAGTCAATATGGGATCATGTCTTCATATTTACCCCTGACAAGTATGACTATATCGTCAGCATAGCCTTGTGCCTCGAAATGTTTGACACTGAGTCCATGCAAGAGCTCGTCCACTGCAATTGACCACAGGAGTGGGGATAATACACCCCCTTGTGGGCATCGTCTTAGAGTATGTGCTTTTATTTCGGCATTGCCGAGAATGGATTTATTCTATTTCTTAGTACATTGCTTATCCATGTGCGTGTCGTATCATCTACTCCTCTGTCATGGAGGCATCTTACGATATGTGAGTGATCAGTATTGTCAAACGCTCCCTCAATATCAAGAAAGCATCCCACCGCAAATTCTTTGCAATCTACAGACTCCTGTATTTTATTAGTAAGACTGAGTAATGCATGTGTGGTGGATTTAGTTTGTTGGTAGGCGTACTGGTTGCCGTGGAGTGGATTTATAGATAAATACTCTTCCCTTATATGCCTTTCCACTATCTTCTCCATAGTTTTTAAAAGAAATGTAGTCAAACTTATAGGCCTATGGGATTTAGGAAGTTCGCTAGGTTTACCTCCTCCTTTAGGTATGTATTTGACAATTGCTTCCTTCCAATTAGTGGGAATGATTCCCATCGCCAGCCCAGCTCTAAAGATATTAATGAGGTAGGGCATAAGGTGAGTTAGTCCCTTTTGTAGGAGTGCTGGAAATATTCCGTCTGCTCCAGGGGCTTTGAAAGGAGAAAATGAGTTGATCGCCCATTTAATTTTATCTTCAGTGAAGATTTTACGAGCAGTCTTCCTGTCATTGTTTCTGGGCCTTTTGGCCACCAGGGAACTAAGCTGGGAGATTGATTGGTCGTAAATTGTAGATCCCGGAAAGTGTACTTCTGTTAGAAGTATAAGTGACTCTTTGCAGTCATTGGTATAAAGACCATCAGGTCGTTGGCTTGGGATTGGGAATGGGATTAGTGTGGCTTTTCGAGATGACCCTTTGGATTTTTGCGCTACTGCTTCACTTTTGAATCTCTGAGCAAAAGCCTCTCCATGATTCTCTTTTTGCCCTTCTAATTTCTTTATTGTAGGCGGTGAGAGCATTTTTATAATTGTCCCATTCACCGTTGGTTTTTGCCTTGTTGAAGAGTCTTCGGGATTCGACTTTTAGCTTGGCTAACGTTTTATTCCACCATGGTGCACTTCTGTTGCCGGTCTTATTTTTCACCGGACAGACCTCATGGTAGGCATTTATAATAGTTGTGTTTAAGGCAGCATCAGCTATTTCTAAATCATGAATGTTGTTTATCGTATGTTTATTACTGCCTAGATTGGCCTTGAGTTCGTCAGTATAAAGATCCCATTCTGTGGCCCTTGGCACCCTATACGGGTCCCTTACTTTCATATTTAGATCAATTTCAAATCTTATCTGACGATGATCAGACATGGATGTTTCTGCTGAAACATTCCAGTTTTTGATAAAATGTTTTATAAATTGTGTAGCTAGGGTGATGTCTAATACCTCTTCCCTGATTCTGTTTATAAAAGTGGGCTTATTGCCCGTATTCAACATATTTAGGTTGTTACCAGTTATAAATTCAAATAGACACTCACCTCTTTTATTGATATCGGTGCTACCCCAGATCGTGTGGTGTGCATTAGCGTCACTTCCAACGATGAGTTGCCTCTTGCTTTTAACACTGTAGTCTACTAGTCCTTTCAGTGATAGGAAGTCTAGGTCTTGGGAGTCTCCAGGTAGGTAAGATGAGCAGACAATGAGCTCTGTGTTACTTACTGGGGTGTCCACAGAAATTATAGCTGCTACCTGGTCCTTGTTGGTGTGCTGTGAAATAATGAAAGTATTAATGTCATCTCTTACCACAATACAAGCACGAGGTCGACCATGGCTGGCATGATCGTACAGTAGCTTACCTTTTATTCCTTTTATCTGGTTCTCATATACATATGGCTCCTGGATAAAGGCTAGGTCAATCTTTTCAGATAGAAGTCGCTGTGTCAACACCGCCGTAGCAGCTTTGGCGTGTTGAAGATTAACCTGCAGGCACCTCATCATTTTATTGGTATCGTCCTTTACCGTTCCGCATCCACTTGGGCAATTTTGTCCCATGAGTGGGTGCTTCCTGTCGAGGGGATCTTGAAGCTGGTTTCTTTGGCCCTTGCTTCTGGTCCTTTATGCTAGATACCGGTGTGCCACCCTGCTGTTTTGAGGTGCTGGGTCCGACTTCAGTTCGGGTGCTATCCCGTGTGACCTTAACCGTCTCACTTGGCTTATCTGCCTGTGCTTTTGAGGTACTGGGTCTATCACCTGAAAGCGGCCTTTTGGATGGAGGCACCTGTTGCTTGACGTCACTGGGTTTCTCTGTCGTAAATGGCCTTTTTGTCGTCAGTTTCTTGGGTCCAGTTGGCTCTCCCTTCACACGTACGTGAATTTGTGTGAAGTTCAGATACAGCTTTCCTGCCTGACCGACTATCCAATTTTTGGATTTTTCGTCCACTGAGATCGTAACGGTTTCCCCACCATTCTTATCTTTCTCAGTCCTGAGAATTCTCCACGATGATGTGCAAATGCCACCATTTTGTTTTTCCAATCGGGACATCAGAATTTCTGGTGGTAGCACAGCAGAGGGGGGAATAAATGTGATGCACACATAGGTTTTGGGCATCTCTTCGCCCTGAAACACTTTGAGAATAGCATCCGGGAATGGTTTGAGTTTTGGGACACAAGTGGTCAGCCAGTTCCTCGTTTCACCATTGCAGCATGTTAATGAGAGCCATCCGTCTCTGTTAACACTGGTGATGAAGCCGTAGACACTATTGTGCTTGGGAAGTTTGTCAATTT